GTGTCAAAGGCTGCGGTGAGGTCCAGGAGGATGAGGATGGTGAGGTGGCTGGAGTCAGAGTCATCTAGTGGTGAAGTTTCAGATTGCAACTAACTGAACATCGCTCATGTCTTTATTTCACAACCTGGGAGTGAGAACAGGCTGGGAAGTGTGTAGGAGAAACTATGGTGGCTGCAAAATTTGCAAAAAAAACAAACGCCCTATTTACAGCCAGTATTTGGTTAATCTGTTCTGGGCTACTGTAGAAACATGGTGGACTCCATGGAAGGCGATCGATCCAGCTCTACCAGGTGAGCTACTAGGGAGCCCTGTGAGTCAGAGTCTCTGATTTCAGCTTCTCAAATGTGAATATTTTCTGGTTTCTTTAGTACTCTATGACAGTAAACTGAATATCATTGGGTTGGGGACAAAACAGGACATTTGAGGACATCATCTTTGGCTTTGGGAAACAGTGACCAACATTTTCACCTTTTATGGTGGTACATTTTATGGTCCAAACAATTAATCAATATTGAAAATAACCCCTAGCTTTAGGAGTGCTGACAAATCCAGGCTAGCTGTTCCCCTGTCCATGTGCCGTGTTCCGTTTTCAGTCTGTGTGCCAAGCTAAGCTAACTATCTGCTGGCTGTAGCAATAAGCAGTACATTAAATGGACAGATATGACAGTGAACAAGTAAATTCCTTTACGGGTCAAACAGAGTTCAATAGAAACATGGTTATTGGAATTTTTCAATCGTCTTGATATGGAACAATGAGCTGAGATGATGAGCAATCCTGAATACAACTCAGAATGAATTGGGATCAAGTTTTGAAATGCGTTTCAGCATTGGGTATTTGAAATGAATACAGTAGCCCTATGTGAGTACTTAAATCTTGGGTTCCCCTTTACTCAAATCTGGCAATCTGTATGTTTGTTCTGTCATCCAGGAGCGCTACTATTACTGCGGATGCAATCACTGACAGCAGCTTGGGGTAGTTGGATTGATGACGTTAGGCAGTGGCCCTACTGATCAAAGTGTCATGTATGGCGATCTTCAAATTGTACATATTAGTTAGACATCTGTTACGAGAATGCGGAAATCAAGAAAAACTGATCACTTCACCATCCACCACATTTCATGTGATGTGTAATACTACTGTAGTAGCTAGCTGGCATAATCAATCGGGAGTTCCATTCAATCACCACACCAGTTGTATTACTGAGAAATTAATAATAAAAATTGATGTTTTTACATAGGTATTCAAGATTATTTCATTAATGACCTGCGAACATCTTGGTCCTCTGCATTCCCAGGGAATCTTTGTAAAGAAAAAAAAGGAAAAGTAGAAAAAACACTTTTAGCAGCTTGCATCAAACGGATGGGGAAGCACTGCAGTGATGGCAAATTGCTTATTTTCCGTTACTTCCTTGGATTTGTGTATGAACGAGTTTATTGTTTGATTGTGTGGTTTCTTATTTGTATGTCTGTAAATTAAAAGAATGGGATAAATAGAGCCCCATTTCCCTGTGTACTTTTCTTTTATAATGAAACCCGTCAAGTCTCACGTCTTACCTGGGATTTTGGTGTTGGCTACCCCCAACCGTGAAATGAACATCTCATGCGCTGCCACACAACAAAGAAAAGAAAAGAGTGTTTATCGTAATCGTAGTTCAGTGCACTTTTTGGCTCCAGCTTTAGTCCTGACGGCACTGTTAGGAGAGGTGGTGGCGAGTCTGAAGCACAGTGCACCGCAGGTCTGATAACAACATGTGTGCATTATCAGTGGAAGAGCAGATAGACATAGGAAAAATAAGATAAACATGATCCATTAAAGATTGGTGCAGAAAATAAAACATCCGTAAGTTCTCTGCAGACTAGCAAGTTAATTTATCTCGGTCTGGCTGGAGCTAATGATGCCTGGGAAGTTCATAGGACAGAGAGGGATGGCTAATCTTAAGTGCACCCACATGTACACAACACACACACACACACACACACACACACACACACACACTAATACACGCATGGGAGTTAAATCACATTATATCACATTACACACAGAGTTATGAGCGATGTGCAAACAGAATAATGTGATATTCATGCTGTTTGTTTTATAACTGGATATCATTATTCCTCTCTCTCTTCCTCTCTGTGTCACTCTCTCAGTCATGCAGTGTGAATGTAATGCCTGTTCACTTGCTGCACTTGAAAAGTTTACCGTATGTTGTAAATTCATGCTGCTTCTTCAGCTGCTGCACCACTCGGGGGTGTGTTTGGATCAGTGGGTGCCTGAACCCCCCTTTGATTAAAATTCTGTGTGTTCCCAGTCAACAGCAGACTTAGTGGCATATGACGCAATTCATCGGGCTTCATACTGTTTTAAAATTCTTGAGTGTGTGTGTGTGTGTGTGCGTGCATGCAATTTGGATCAAGGATGTTGGTGCATTGTCAGGGCTGGTAATCAGAACACGAGTGCAGCTGCAAAGAGGCTGTCAACAAGTCAAGGATGATCAAAAACTCTTCTGTGGAACAAAAAGATATGCGTTTAAACACACAGCACATATATAGTATACTGTTTTTACATGAGTATCTCGTTGCATGAATGAATGAATACATATTGCATGTTCTTGAATGAGGGAACATGGGATATATGTTAAAGTAACACCTACCTTCTGCTGCTGCAACGGCGCATAAGGAATGCATATCACTAAAAAGACAAATCTCCTCAATTCCAAAACCATTCTTGCTACTGAAGCGATGTATCAGTTATCAGCCGGTAGATCAGAAATGGTCTCTAGTGTGTCAGCCACTGTACAGTTGTATGTAAAGGTTTTGACTTGTCAAAAGACACATTTTGGTGACTTATTAATATAACATATCCTAGAGAGGCTGTTTTTACACCTTTTCAGTAAAAATAAAAATCACAAAAATATGTCATTTGTCAAACCTTTGCATCCAACTGTACCTTCATCTGCAAGGACAATCTCCCAGAGAGTAGGAACAACTGATAATATAATTCCATTTGTTTTGCTGTTTTTGGCACTTGTATGACGAAAAATTAACTAATTATATTATATTATTAATTATTACGTTATACCATACCATGTGCAACAATGTGTGCCACAACAAAAGAGTTTTTAGTTTTTAATGATTGTATTGTAACGCTAACAGTTACGGTCCAGAAACTGCTCCCAGGTCAGTAAAGTCACCTCATAGGCTGTGTACACATGATCACTGGCACTGGAGTGAGATCTATGATTTCCCACTGTATGAAAACAAGTTCTAGTTATTAAAGCTTTGATGCTGTTTTGACGCTGACCTTTCAAACACATAGTTTGACATTTTGGCAAATATGAGAGAAAGTTTCCAAACGAGCCGCCATGTTGGTTCGTTCTGATATCCTGCAGCAGCGAGCCTTTGTCCAATCAGGTGCAGGTGTGTGTGTGTGTGCGGTTGGAGGAGGGTGTAACCCTGTGGTCATGTACCATTAGATGAGAAGATCAAGGCCACTCTCATGCACACATCATGGCACTAGAGCAGGGAGTCAATTAGATTAGCTTAGCATTTGAAAGCAGGGGAAAACAGCTCTACTAGTCGGCTCATTGCACATAAAACCACATCTTTCAGCTTGTCTGCAGATTAAACAAGCAAGATGCTATGTGCTAATTAGTAGGCTAAACTTTAGTCGTGCTGGTAGACATATTTTTGGACTTTGGACAGATCCAGGCTAGCTGTTTAGCTCTTCAGTCTTAATGCTAATCTCTGCTAATCGACTCCTGGCTCTAGCTGCATAGATTGGCAAGACAGCAAATAAGCTTATTCTCCAAAAATATCTATTTATTTTAGGACTGTCCAATATGATTAGAGCTAACCAAAATACCTTAAGCACATGCCATTTGGAAATAAACATGTACTGGCTTTTCATAAAGCAATATTTTAGTTTTTCTCCGTCAGTTCTGTCAATTATATAAATTACACAGATGACAGTGCAGTGCTGAGGTTTTAGTACAAACTTATACAGTATACGGTATATACTACATAACAGAACTCATACATCCAGGAGTTCTGATTTAATGTGGATTTTTAATGCCTCTGTATACTGAACATTTATATTGTCATTATCAACAGATCTTTTAGCTCAAAATGTCTTTCTTTCTCCCGTACCTCTCTGACTCTAATGCTTCCCACTCAGTTCGACTCTTTGTCTCGCTGCTGCTATCGATCTCCATGCCACCCTGCCTCCTCCAGCTGACCCTCTTCCACTTTCTTCTCTCCCTCCTCCACATTTTCCTCCCTTCCCGGTGTTACTTTTGCACAATTTCTCTGTCATTGTCTCATTTTTTCATTCTGCCTTTCACCATCTATGTCTGTGTTCTTGTTGCTTCTCCTTCCCCTCCTTTTTTTAAATTTACCCCCAACACCCCTCTCACCCCTCTTGCCTCCACCTCTCCTCCCTTTCTCCATCATTCACATTATTACTGCCCGCTTCCTCCCCTCTCTCACCACTTTGCCTTCCCCTTGTATTTGTATTTTACAAGGTTAAGTTATGATTTGTGGAAGTAAACAACTTGTAGGCGTCCTAAGGGAGCACCCTGCTGCTGTGCTCTGCTTTTAGTCCAGAATTAAATGTGGTCCCATGGCTGGTCTGCACTCTTGCCAGACTTTGACATAAATGCCAAGGAAACTCTGTGGCAGGGGATTAAAAAGCAATAAAAGAAACAGGAAATGGGGAAAAAGAGACAAATAATGTCACACATAAAATGTATTTGCGAGTCCTTGGCTTTATTCTTGTTCTTATTCTTGCTAATATTCCTGGTAATGTATTCCATTTATGATATTATAATTATAATTGTGATTGTGATAGTCCAGCATGATTGGAGTAAGTAATCCAGCAGGTTATTACAAAAACATATTCCCAGATGATTTGAACAGATATATAAACTGTGCGAATGTGTAAAGCCCCTTGTGTAAAGTTCTTGTTTTGACCCAGGACATGAACATTCATCTTCCTCCTCCAGGTGGTCGTCAGGGAAAGATGCCGGTGACGGCGCTGGAGGCTTTTGACCTGGAGATGAAGAGCTGGACACGTTACCCCTGCATCCCAAGCCGGAGGGCCTTCTCCTGCTGTGCCACAAATGAGCGAAGCCTCTTCAGCCTCGGGGGCCTCCAGCAACCGGGGCCTCATAACTTCTACTCCAGACCTCACTTTGTCAGCACCATGGAAGAGTACGATCTGGATCAAGGTTAGTGGTGACCTAACTGTACACTCTGTGGTAACATTAAACTTTTACTTTAAGTCAGGACATAAGGGCGGGCTGCCCATGTGGAGTGCTGGGAGTTTTCCTGGTGTGCTGCTACACAAGTTGGCCTAATGGAATAAAAACAAAAACACATTAGTGATGGGCCCAGTGTAGGGAACTGACCAGCCCAGTGATTCAGGACTGACTGTCTCCCCCCTACAGCCATTCACATTCTGTTACCTGGCTGCTTCCTGTGGCTCCACCTGCCCCATCATGTCAACACTGACAGAGCGAGTAGCTGACTGTTGCTGACTCACTGAAGTAGAAATCGCCAAAAATAGAAGCATCTAAATGCTTAGAAATGACAAGTTAATGCATGTAGCGCTGCCGGTGGCAGCAGGAGGACTGCTAGGGCAGCAGAGTGGATTCAGGACCACAGCCTGTCAAGGCTTGTGAAGGTTTTGCATCTGAAGCGGTGGGCAGAAGAAAACACAGAAAAGCTAATCAATAGTTAAAGAACTCAAAGTATTTTGTCTGTGTGATTTGCTTAGACTTGCCTTGCAGAGCTTCATTCTTACACAAGGATTGAATTAAGAAAAGCAATTAAACTAATTATGTTGCTGCTGTACTGTCCAGTTTAAATTCTAATATACCAACAGTGCTCCTTGGTATACAGTGAGTGGAATGTGAAATACACTGACCTGTGCAACGTAACGCAGTGCAAGTGGCACTGCTAAAATGGCTATAATGTGTGGTTTTTGTTTATTATTTTTGGTTGTATTTTATGAAAAGATGTTTCTGGTACTTTGTCCACCTCGCAACGACATTGCCATAAATTCTGCTCTGACATGGTGTAAATAACTATATACACGTTTATGTATCATTATACAAATTCTGATAGTTAATTTAGGTAATCACATTCTTTTTACAGTTCTACTAAATTCCTGTAAGGAAGTCAGTATGGCTGGTCGACAACTTTCTTAGTTCAAGACTGTTTTTCTGCAGCAAGCAAAGCCGCCCATAAGGGGGGAAAGCTGGCCGTGCCATTGTCGACTCATCCTAAATATAAGCTTTTTTTAAACACCAAAATACTCACCATTATCTATTTAAACAACAAAAATATGTTCATTTTATGTATTGTTACTTTAGTACAATGTCACCTGTTTAATAATGATAACCTCCTCTCTTGATAATGGTATGAGTTTTTTTGTGCGCTACGTAAAAACGTCCCAGCCAGGCTGAAGAGGTGAACGATAGCTGGAAGGCTAATGTTACAGCTAATGTTACTAGCCAACAAGTTGGTAGCGTAGAGCTATCACCACCAGTGTGTGTGTCCCCATCGCTGAGTAAGTCTCTTTTAGTTTACATGTATGTGTTGATGTAGAAGAGAGGAAGCATGTGCATGCGTTGGTATGAGTGAAGCAGATTTGGGCCCATTCAGTGGACCTTTTTAGGTGGCCAGCCATTTCTGTTGGGGGGCCTGTTGGTGACGCATATATACATTAAAGACAATACAAAGAGACAAAGCATACTACCAAAGCTCGGGAGGTGCTGGCCATAAGACAATATTTAAAGAGGAAAGACAGGCGACACACTGAACTCAACCACAGGGTCAGGGTGTAATACTTTGAGGTAAACATTGGACAAATAAAACTGTGACCCATCATTCATTAATGATTTAATTTTAGGGAATTGAAAAACCTATGTCTATAGAGGTAATTCTTCCTTAGTTTGATTCATTTGCATGCCCAATAAGAGAGAAGCTGCCTTGTCTGCAGTCCAGTGGAATTGTTTGTTGAGTTTCTCACAATGTGCGCAATGCCACCCTGGAGCACTTTGAACGGAGCGAGAACATGATCTGTTCTGTGCTGATAATCCAACCCAAATATAGGAAGATTATGCATCAGTTGAATAAGATCATATCAAAGCTGATGCTGCAGCAGATCTCGGACCAGTGAAAGAAAGGAACAGATGCTCCCACAGTGCGTTGCTGATGAGTTATGGCTCACTTGAAATGTTGGTGCATAAAACGTAACTGAACAAATGTAATAAGTAATAACGCTTCTGTTGATTTAAATGAAACAAACACATCGGTGGTTTTTAGATCATTTGCTGTAAATCTGTGAGTTTTTTTAACTCTATGCCACACACACCTTTTAATTAAGGGCTGCATTTTGCTGCAGTGTGAAGGATTAGAACCACAAACAAAATGAATCATTACCTTGGGAACAGGGTGTTTTGGGCTATGATAAGCTTTAATTAGTCCACATTATTATTTTGTACTTTTGTGCTGGCGTCACAACATCTGCTCCAAATCCCATTTTAAGCAGCATGAGAACCGAACAGAATGTGCCTCCATCGTATATTAATGTAATTATGTCTGATATTAACAAGAATGAGGCATTTCCAGATGGGTCCCAGCAGCTCTGGAAGAGTGTAATCTTTTTGAGCAAGATGGGGGAGAATTGTGTCCTCACCTAACCTTTACCTTAGCGTATGTGGACATGGATCAATGACATCATTTATTGTTTAATCTAAGGGACTTGTTGAGAAATGAATTACCAAAATCCCACAATTTGATTGCTGCTTTGGCGCACATTTACTGAATACAGCATGAAATGACATACTGCTAATAAAAGCATACACTACTTACCTCAAACTCCCTTGCATCCTATATGGGGCTTTGTTGTACACTTCACCACGGCCAGCGGTAGGGATGATAATCACATTTTGTATATACAGGCCCATATCATAAGAGCAGAAACTGATTCTGCCCTGCCCTTCTACAGTTGATGGAATCGAATACTTTGGCTGAAGATGCTGGCATAGAAAGGGCAATGTAGTGAGACAATCTCAGAAAGAAGCTCAGGGACAGCTGCTCTGCTGGCGCTACTGTTCCTGAAGTGCCTTTGTGAGGCTTTCAATAGCTTAATTTACAGGATATTGAGTATCAAAGGTGGTCACAGGGTGAGCGTGATGTGGATACAAAAAGGGTGCACTGACTCACTGTCATAAATGGACAAATCTATGCAGCAGCAGCTGCAGACTCCGCAGGTATGTTAACACTGCAGGTACGCTGCAGGTATTATCAGATGGATGGATGGATTATGAGAGAGATGAATTCTGTTTTCTGTGGAACTCTCTAGGATACATATGTCCTGCTGCTGTGTATAATCAGTAATGCAATATCGAACAGTGCACCAGCAACATCATAATATTGTAGTATGGTTTATCCCACAACATTAATTAAGCACTTTTGGGAGTGTGTAATATTGCTCTCATGATTTGGCTTTTATGGTCACTCACACTAGATTTTTACATCCTTTTCTGTACCATTCATTTTTATTAGTAGAAAGAGAAGTTAGTGATTCTCACCTGGAGTTGATTTTACACACTAGATTTCATCATAAACTACAAGTTAGAGTACAAGTTCATACAAAAAAAGAATTGATAATATAAATTTAGAACCCGCCTACACATGTTCTAATGTGTGGGACTGCAGCAAAATACTGCATGCGTGTGCACACTTCCAGGTGAGTGTGAGTATGCATGATGCATGAATGGAAAACATTTCCATTTGTTGAACATGGGCTCTGCTTTTTGTCAAATTTATTTATTAATAATTAATAATGTAGCTTCATAGACAATAGGGAGATGGATGGATGGATAGATGGCCGTTGTTCTGTGCAGTGAGTCGTGATTTAATTCAGCTTGAGTGACATCTGAGAGCTACAGAAAGAAAACTGAAGAATCTCGAGATAAAGAGAAAGCTAATAAGTCTTTCTAAGATTCACTGTGTTTTGGACGCTGAGCACTGAGTAATCGAAGTTGTGTGTCTGTCCACCATTATGTTGACTTGCTCCGATAGGAGGGCAGTGGATGGATCAAAAAATTGTCATTCTTGGCACGAAGATTGTCCCCGGCACACCATCCACTACACTTCCCCTCCAGTTGAACACAGCGCAACATGAAGCACAGTGCAGCCCTCTTTACTTTCTATGGGACACAAATGAATCACTTTTGGAGGCATTGTTGGACAGCAGGTGACGTAGGAATGGACATTTTTCACTAAAGACATTTTGGCATTTTCCTTTTTAAATGAGCTAGTTCCAGGGTCCTTCTATTGTACACTCGGGCTCACTGGAGTGACTTACTGGGACACTCGATTGGGCTGTCCTTGAAAATGTGTTGCACCTGTACCTTTTCTGCCATGACAAGTGTCTGCTATCCACGTAAAAACAGAGTGGGTTGAGAGCTGAAAAACATCAAGACACTGTGATGCAGTGGTGGACAAGAACGATAGTCTTTACCAGCTAGATGAGCAGGGATGAAACTGCCTAAACAAGTCAGTGGGACCAGCCACTGTCGCTTACTATAGAACACAAATCAGCAAATGTTAAAATGCCGGCTAACATGCTAGACTGAGATAGTTTAACCTCTGCTTTGTCATTGTGAACATGTTGCCATGCTAGCATTACCATCTAACATACAGTGCGATGGCTGTAGGCACTTATCCTTGCTGTTTCTATTAGTGAAGGTAAAAGAAATGAATTGACCAGTTTAGAAGTGAATGCTCCACTGCGCTCTCGTGTCTGTGAGAAGATTTGTCAAAAACTGTAAGTCTTTCATTTGCATATCGATCAACAATTAACATTTGAACAATAATAGGAAGAGAGCTGTGACACACACACACACACACACACACACACACACACACACACACACACACACACACACACAAAAAAAAAACACACACAAGCAGAAAGTGCCAAATGACTGAGACTGTGGTGCGTCCTCCGGCTGCAGTGCAGCCAGGTGAAGGAGGATGATTAGATATTCTACAAATGAACTCTGGATGATTTAGCTGCTCATTGTTGGATGAATGGATTAAACCATAAAGACATTATTCGGCGGCTACCTACTGCGTGTATCTAAATTCTGTGAGTGTGACTAAGCAAATGCCTACTTGTGTTCGTGCATACAGACGGATGTTTAAGAACAGG